ACCCGTCAATCCAGACCGACAAAGGGACAAGGTTAAATTGATTTTGAATTTGATTGCTTCATTTTCGTGACCAGAAGAATGTTTACCATAAAATTTGACCGACAGGCACACAGGCAGACAAACAGACAGACAGACAGACATGCCTACATCGGTTTAGAATTTGATGGTGACATATATTATAAGTATATAAATATATATATAAATATTATACATTGACATATATAATATATATGTATCATCTTAATGTGATGGGTGGTAAGAAAAGACATTTTTATTGAACTTCTTTAGAATTTTCTAAAGGAGCTTTTTATTTAATAAAGAGCATTAAGTTGCTTAAAAAAATATGAAAAGGAAAATTTTAATTAAATTAATTTCATTCAAGGAACAAAAAAATGTTGTCACATACTATATCCATACATATATATATATATATATATATATAGTCAGAACGACTGTGTACTAACCAATGTGTAAAATTAATATCAAGAATAGATGGAAACCAGCTATAAGCACGCCCTCTTTGCTAATATATAGGGGCAAAAGAAGACAAAGATGATAAGCAGCGAAAGGAAGGAAAAGGAAAAAGAATAACTTAAAAATATGTAACGAAAAAAATTATTTGATGATTTAATGGGAACGGTTTAAAGCATAAACTGAAAAAAAAAAAAACACTGAAGTGCAACTTGCCAACTAACGAATCTTAAGAAAACAGTTTCAAGGCATAACACGTGCCTTGACGAAAACAAATAACAATTTGTTAAGAATATAAGAAAAGATAATACGATGACACGAAAGATAATGCTAGAGTAACGCTACAATTTAAAAAATAAAAGAAAAATATGTTGAAAAATGATGAAAACAAATTTATAGATATGACTGGAACTATGAAAAAAAAATGTGAAAATTTTGATAATACATACAGACATACATATACATATATAACGCGCACGTATATGCTTCTCGTAGATTAAAGATAAGACACAATATTTTTCATGCTTAATAGTAAGGAAAAATATTTTTCTTATTCGCTTTCCATAATAAATTAAAAAAAAAAAAAAAAAGAAGAAATCTTTCTACTTAAGACACAATCTCAACGTATAATGCTATGAATTGTAAAGCATACTTTTACTTGAGTGCAAATAGAAAAATTCATAGCATATGTTAAGAGGCCTTTTATAAAAGGAAAGTAATGATAGTTTTGTTTTTTATTTGTTTTCTTTTTCTTAAATTCAACCCATTGAATTATTAATCATAAAAACTGAGACGAGGAAAAAAGAAAACAAAGCTAAATAGGTCAGATAGTAAATATTAGAGAAAAGCAACAAAATGGACAGAAAACTTATGTACATAAAGCTACCCGCCATCGTTATGAACATAGGGTTCGATGTGATAAAAAGCAAAAAAAAAAAAAAAAATAAGTAAAAACAAAATTGATATGAATCTTAAGCGTCAATCACCTGATTTGTTTTTTTTTTTTTTTTTTAATAAAAAAAACCTTGTATGACCAATCAGGCACATTGTCGCAGCAAAAACACGGAATATATTAGCGTTGTGAGGTATTGGCAATGCAAAGAAGTACACGTGAGAAACCCCACCAAATTAAATATATTCCTGATCGTTTAAGGAACCGCTGTCTCCTTAATTTAATTGTTTCCATTGTTCCGATCCCAAATCTTTATCTTGAAAAATAAACAACCTGTTAACATTTTTCATTTCCTTTTCAAAGGAATTTAAAAAAAAAAAAACAATAAAGTCTATGCATAGCTCCGTCCGCGCTTATATATAACAAACCTAATCATTTTCTACCTCCCCCTTAAATCTAAGTTGCAAAGATTGGCTTAGATTACATTTTGATATTTTCATTTTTTTACTCTCATGCTTAGTAAATTAATCGACATCGCTACGCATGATTGTAGTTCCACTAATGATAATGTTTTTATTCTGCGATGCAATGTTGACATAAGTGGTTTTCTGCCGTTTTACAAGTGACGAGAACAAACCTATCAGTCACATCGACAAATTTTTGCTTTTCCTGAAAGAGTTTATTCCTTGACCAGCTATTGCGATGCAGTACCATCGCCTGAACATTTGATGACCCGATGAAAGTTGGCTGTTTCCCCACTGTCCCGTATATTATTGCGAGTTATGCAAATACAGACCAAAAGTATCGATTTGACTTAGATGAGTGATATAACGCATTCTACTTAAAAGATTTAATTGCTTTCCAATCAAAGGCTACCATTCAGCCCAACTTCTTTTTTTGGAGTTTTTGTTTTGGATTTTTTAACGCTATACTTATGACTACGATTTATGGATACGATTAAGCAAAAATGTGTGCTTTACATGAAATTTGAGATGTTCTTCTGAGTTGATGCAAAGAAACAAGAAAGGAAGAGAGTTAGTACACGTCTTATCTTTCGCTTGCTAAATAGCAACAAATAAAACGACGAGTTACGGCCGTAATGTGGAGGAAATTTTCAATTTCTTTTCAATTTGCATGTTGACCTGTACAACGACTCTTTGACAACGCGGATTGTCAATTCAATTTTTTGCTGATATCCAAAGTAGAAATGCGATTACATTCATTAACCACAGTTTAAAAGATGAAATCATCTCTTATGAGTAGAAAATTTTGAGAGAAAAATATCCCAATAATTTCGAAACTATGTAATGAACATTGATCAAAATTTTGCCCAGTGAATAGAATCATTCGGCCTAACAACAAACAGTGAATTTCATATATTTAACAAACAATATGCAGAACAATAATATATATATATAATAAAAAGTTGAAATGGAAAAATTATACCTGTATATAGTGTTTAACACCAGCGCAAGCATTCTCACCCAAATAGCATAAACGTATCATGTCTTCGTTTAGGAAAGCTATACATCTTAAGCTAAATGCATGGGCTGAGTGCATCGCAAACAACACTTAACCTGACTTAAAAGTGCAAAGCTTTGCATTAACTTAACACTCAGTCATTAAATCCGTGTATTATACAGACTTAATAACAATATGGGTGGATAGCAAAATATGCGTATTATGCATTCACGTTATACTAACAGCAGAAGCACACATACTCACACCTTTCTTACTAATTGAAAACAACAATACGAGGGAAATTTCTACACTAAGTTTCCCATTCATTTCTAATATTTGTTTAGTTTGCATGTATGTGTATATGTGCGTATTAATTTTTGTTCTTTTTTTTTTTTTTTATTGTTTGATATTTTAATGTTGCAATATTAATAAAAAATTGTAAGAAGCAGTAATTTCCGATTCATTTCACAACATGGTTGCTTTCATTTTTTAATGTAGCATACTTTTAGTTGTTTACGTTACATCAAGTAATAAAGCATATATTTGTGATAGGGTTTCACACTAAAACTAATGGTTTGCAAATAGAATGAGTTTTCCATAAAAATTTTAATGAAAATGTTCACTTGATTGTGAAATCATTAAGCAAACGAGATTTGCTTTTCAAGATGATAAAGAAAATGAGTTAAATAGTTGCGCTGATATGTAAATAACAGCTTCAAATCGTCCTACGACCTTTATGAACACGATCGAAAGTTTATGAACACATTAAGTTCCTTCGATTATCTTGATATGGTGCATTTTTACTTCTTTCCGGATTGGACCAAAACGTTACGGTCCATTTGATTGAAACTACTCGCCTCAGCTATCTAATATCTTGTATCATGAGGCTTTTTAAGAAAAAATTCAACTCGTATTGTGCTGCAATCGCCCTGGATAACCTGGATTTAAATTCGTCTGGGTGTGACTTCTATTTATTCTTGAAATTGAAAACCTCTCCGAACATAATATCATTTTAGCTTGGTTGAGAAGAAAAAGGCGTTTATTTTTTAAGACGAAAGTGAGAAAGCAACTCTTAAAAATGTTAGGCCGAAATTTGAGACAAATATGTATTAGGGTGGCGCCAACGTAAGCAAAGAAAACTATTCACTAGGAGGATAGCACTGAGCGATTTAAATGCAGAAATTTTGCTACCTTCTAAACACAATATAACGACATAACTCAACTGTCCAGTTGAATAATATGTTAAACTTGCCTGAGATTATAACGAAGAGTTCAAGCTCAAATTTCGCACATTTAACGTTTACTAGTCAGTTCATTTGAACTGCCCAATAATCTAGTGAACATGTTTCGAGACAAGTTACAACATTAATATTTTTACTTTTTCTAAAATATTACCGATTATAAGACAAACAAACGCAAATACAATGAACAGAGAGACATTAATCAATTAAGAATCCTACGCATCTTTTATGAGCTTACGTTTAGCTTGCGACAATATTGAAACATTTGATGATCAATTCTAGAACCGTATTTAACAAAAGCAAGTCTTGTACCAACTTAGGCAAAGTAAATCAAATTTCTATGAAGAGAATGTAAAAGCATTAATTTAGCAAGAGAAATAAATTCAATGATTAAGATCTTAAAGCGTTAGCATCTAATGTTATCGGCGTAAAGATTGAAAGATGTCTCTACTTTCGATGAAAACTTCATCAGCACTGAAGGCGAATTATTAAAGTAACACGATACATCGGTTTACGATTTACTAATTCTGTTCTCACTCAGTTATCTACGGAAATTAGAATAAGCCAATCGCTAGCCATGCCACAAAAAAAGGCGAAATTTATAGAAAAGTATAAATGGCTAAATTGTGGTCATGGACCAATTATGGCAAATGAGAAGAAGATTTCAAACGTGATGTGTAAAAAGAGTGTCTTTTGCTGATGCAATGTCGCCCTACTTCGTTCCATATCATCAGTTCATCAGTTCAACACTCGCCGAAACTTTCAAAAGTCAATTGAACAAAATGAGATCTTAAGACTTGCTCTATACGTTTTCCACAAAGCCTTGAAGAGGGGGAAGAATAAATACAAAACCCTTTTAATATTTAGTAGAAAAAGCTATATATTTTTAAGCAAGAACTTATATAAAAAGTTGAGGTGGTAAGAAAAATACATACATTATATTAAATGAGAAGAATATTTTTAAACAAAAAATGTGATCAGCGAGCGTCAAGGTATCAATGATTTAAGCTGAAATACTCGGATGCATTGTTTTTATCCTTACTGGGCGAAAATATTTGAAAACATAATTTTCATAGGTAGCAATTACATGTCCTTGAATATGAAAGATGTTCTTTTCAAGTATAAGTGATGCGAATAAGTAATAAAAGCTCTTGAAATATTTAATAACGTACACAAGAATTTCATTTAAAAATCTTTAAAATGCATATAAATTCAAAACGACAAACATTGCATAAACAAGTTCAATAAAATTTTGGTTTTTGCCTTTTTTTTTCATTTTCTTTTTTTTCTTCTTTTTTTGTTTTTTTTGTTTTTTGTTTTTTGTTTTTTATTTAGGAGCGTAAAAATACCGTTCGCGTTGTACAGCGTAAACATAACATTTGCGGGCACAGCCAATATATTGTTTGTTTGTTGACGGTTTCACATTGTTAAATTTGCTGTTGTTATCGTTACAGCATCCGCCAGCCAGAACAGAGTTAGGGCTATGGTCAATTTTGTTTCTGGGGCGGAGGGTATAAAAAAATTTTTGTTTTTCTTTTCAATATTTACTAAGAGTATAGGAAGTAGTACCACCAATACAATGTAAAGCCAAAATAAAAATAAACACTATGAAAGATATTCAGAAAAACATTCAATGAATACAATAAGTTGTTGCGTAAAATGCTAAAGGAAATTATAAATGCATTGTAAGAGGTTCGAATGCGTTACGCAGTCAAAGATTTCACATAATTGAAATAATGAAGTTTTGTTTTCTTTGAAAGATGAATTTTATTTATCATAATTTATTTTCTTCTTCTTCTTTTTTTTTTTTTTTTTGTTTTTTTTTTATCATTAATTTTGCACAACTATTGCGTTCTTTATGTTAGGGGCGACAAAGTATTTTTTATTCTTCTTATTATTTACTTAAGTGTAATTTTGTTTTCTTTTTTTTTTTTCTTTTTTTTTTTTAACTTATTTACTTTAAATTTCTTAATACATCGCAATAACTATTATTTAACGGTCAGTAGAGTTAAACTAACGGTAAACAACTAAAGACTTTGGTTAGTATCAACAAACATTAAGCCTCAATAAGGTGCTCTTCCTGTACGCATACACATACGTGCATGCTTTTACACATTGCCATTCGTTTAGGCATCACAATTGTTACGCAGTATCGAAGGATATTAGTGCAGATACCCGACTCGAAGCATTCATTACAACAAATTTCTCTCATTTCTGTAGCGAAGAAGAGTAAAAGATATACGACGAACAACAATGTAACAGCAATTTATGAACAACAAACACGATAGAACAGAGTAAGCTTTACCAGTACAATGAATGACAACAAGAGAGAAATTTCATTCAGTTTGGAACGAATTTTTTCGCCACCTTTTAGTTGCTTGTATTGAAGAGAGAAAGTTTTCATAACACATAATAATAATATTGTTTACGGGTAATTATGTGTATTTTTGGAAAATACGATATTAAAATAGAAAACTAAGCGGAGATTGATTTAAAAAAAAAAAAAATAAAAAAAGATGACTTTGCGGCGCAAATGTGGGAACCCGATTGACTCAATTTATTTAGTTGGGTCACTTTATTTAGTTCCCACTTTACACATATAAATTGTAGCTATAATCTAAAAAGGAAGAAAAAGAAAATTTTCTCTTGCAACGTATGCTGATTATTGCAATTAGTTCGAAAATAATGAAAGAGAAGAAATAGGTGAAGACTTAGACTCTCTTAAACTCGTCCTAAATAAACTTTTGAGATCATTTATCACTAGTGCTAGTAAGTTACTTAGCATCGAGCTAGTTCTTGCATCTTGCAAAAGTACATATATTTTTCTTGGTTTTTTTTTTTTTTAGGTTTTCTTTTTAAAGCGATGCAAAAACGTTGTTAAAATTAATGCAATCACTTTATTTTATTCTTATAATTACTTGTACTTATATTATACGATTTGCCATACGTTAAAAACACACCGAAATATATATCGAAAATAATATAAAAGCCATGTACGCTTTATGCCTGGCTTAGCAGACGGAATTGATTAGAACATGTTTGTCTGCCCTTTTTGTTCACTTGACTGCCTGGCCATTCATCAATTTTTTAAGACTACAAACTTGGAATTTTTTTTGTAAGAGAACTACCTTGTTTTTATAATTTCTCTTAGGGCTCTCGTTAAATTTAAAAGTAAACCGCATCTGCTCTTTGATCGCCTACAATTACCTACAAAAAAATAACGGCTTCTTTTTTCCTAAGTAATGGCCAGATAGTTATTGTAGCTGATTTTTAAGCTACCAGTTTAAAGGTTCCGTAATAAATTGCTGTCTTTAAGAGCGAAAATTAGATAAAATGAATTACAAGCGGCTCGCCGACAATCATACAAAAATAAATCGGTTTTCTTCATATTCCCATTAAAATCACATTACCGCCGTTACCTCCTCCTTTAATCGCAATGGCTGTCTTTGAAATACAATCCCCAATCCATTCCGCCCGTCTTTACAGATGTCACAAGTACTAATCACTCTATCCTCCATTCTTACCCAAAAACCCTTTTTTGACCATCACTGCGCCTCCATGTATAAAAGGCGATAAAGCCCTGACTAGTAATGAAGTACAAAAAAAAAAAAAAAAAAAATGTCACAATACGTTGTGTTCGACTGTAGTGTTTGCTTTACAACCAAATATCGGGAACGGATATAAAGAAATGCAATTTGCTTCTTTCTTTTTTTTTTCATTCTCAAATTAACCGCAACATTTTACTACGATCTAGTAGATTACAATGGCAACAATTTGGTTTAAGAAAACGAAAACAAAAAATGACGAACCGCCAAAAATCTTTTCTTTCCTCTTTTTAAAAGCTTATAAAGCTTACTCTCATTATGGTTCGTTCATTAATTAATTCTCTTTTCAAAATTAATTCTCTCTCTATGTTTCATATTCGAATGTTTCATTGCTTGACAGCTTCAACTATTATTATGAAAGCTTTAAATATGTTATATGAACACAACCAACTAAACCCTGAATGAACCTAATCTCACAGTTCATAATCAATTTTATATAATTCTGATACGAGAACTCGAACCTATTGAAAAACAAAACATACAGAAAATTTTCATAAAAATAAAACAAAAATATAAAAAAAAAATTAAAAAAAAAAGTATAAAAACACAAACAAACTATGTGAAATCAACGAAATTTTATACAAAAATTTTGCATTTAAAAACAACAACAATTTTTTCCAAGATGCAACTTGTTAACAATTAAGAAAATGTTATTGATTAAAACACAATTGACTTCAAAAACATAATTTGATGACAATTTCTATTTGAAAATGACATTTAAACAAATGCATTGAAGCAAAAACAATTAGAAAAGCAAAAAAGATTATCATTTGAAATGTTGTCAGGAGAGTCTAGATATCGAGAGCTCTATATTAACTAACATGTTTTTTTGTTTTACGAACGCTTTTACTCGCAAGGAAATGAATTTTAATGCAAAATATTGTCCAGATATGCAAACAACGCTTCGGCATACGAATGAATGCACATGAATGTTTTCGGGTCCTGTATAGCTTCGGTAATAGTAAAGAGTACGATATCCGAAAATTGTTCGGTATAATTTTGTTGTTTCTCGCTTTTACATTCCGGCTTAACTAGTTTTCTTCACTATAGCGGAAATGCATTAATGACTGCCATTTAAAATTTTGTAGATGTTTTACGCTAGAAAAGAAAAACAGCAGATAAGTAGCGAATAATAAATAATAATTATATATAAGCAAAATGTTTGCGCTGCAGATCTTGCCGCATAGTATAACATCGTGACCAACTCTACGATTTTCAAATTTATAGAAAATTATCAGGCAACGAAGAAGGAAATCGAATTACTAGCGAAAACAAAATGGAATTTTCATTGAAAGCATCACACTTTCTCTTTCCTCTTATCCGCTGTTATTAGCCAACTCCCTACGTGCACCAATGACTAAAGAGATTAGAGCTTGGCTTAAAGATCCATGAATAATAGTGACGATGCACTAAAACTCAATATTTGCTGCCACATCGGCATAAGCAATTTAATAGATTTATTATTATATACAATGTCGTCACTAACACGCCGTAACCACATAAATAAATATCTCTCGTATACGTAGATTCTGCCAACTGTTATTAATTTTCACGTAAGACTCTTTTAACAGTAAATAAAAGCTCTAGTAACGAGAAAACGATATATATTTCACATGGATGAGGGGTATATTCATTTTGCAAAACGTTTGCCATGCCCAGGGGAAATCTTGTACATATTCTTGATTAGCATTAAATTCTGAATCGATCCAAGCATATTCATCTGTCCCTCTGTTTGGTCTGTCCGTCTGCGTAATGTCTATTACGAGCATTCTGAGGCCATCGACTTAACATTTGGCAAAAATGTTCGTTGATAAGGAAAGTGTGACAAATCGGTCGAAGAAAACGCCTACAATGCTATGCAAAGTGAGGCAACCCACTGTTTCTTCAGAGGTATAAAGAAGGGTCCTTGTTTTCCTTGGTTTTTGTTTATTACTCATAAAATTTGATTCAGAAAATAGAAAAAATCGGCCACGCCCATCCAATACCATCGAGTATGAAAATGAAGTTCTTCTCCATTTTCAAACACTTTTTATGAATACCAATGATGAGTATAAGAAATTCGGTGAGGATCGAATTTTCGAAAATTCTTACACCACTCATGATATAAGTTATGTTATGTTAAATTTTGTAACATGTCTCGTGTTTTTGAAGAACATTTTTAATTCTATAAAATATAAATTTTATTTTTCACAAGCAACAACATTATAAGTTGTTGTAAGTGAATAAGAAATAGTGCATTTTTTTTTTTTTTTTTTTTTTTTTTTGGTTCTGGAAAACAGATATATTTTCAATTTACATTGTCTATACTGCGGGCACATTTTTAGGCCGATTTAGGCCACTTTTAATATTAAAACTGCGTGCAACAACTTCTAAGCAATAAACGGGGGGATAGGAAGTTGGGCAAACGGACGGCAAACATGCTTAGATCGAATCAGAATTTGATAGTGATCAATAATCTATGTACTTTACAGGGTCTCTGAGAGAGTTTTTTCAGGATTCTAATTCTTTTTACTTTTGAAAATCGAGATGCTCTCATTTCACGTTCACTGTGGATGTGTGATTTGGCTCATTTTCCATACCCAGCTGCCAATATTTCTGCTAAATTTGAAGCTAATAGATTAATTTTTTACCAAAGACATTACATAGACGGACATACGGACAGATGGGCCAAAAATATAAATATATATACCGGTATAAAAATGCAGTAAATTCTAGTAGTAGAGTACAGTGTGAAATACTTACAGTATTATTATTGTTATCATTATTAATTTGGTTAGCGAAATAATTTGTAAGACTCAAGTCTAGCATCTAAGGCTATCGGCTTTTACTTACAAAAGTAAGTGACAAAATTTTACCAAAAAATTCATATCAATGTAGATGATGACATCCAATACAGTATTATGAATATATAATTCTTCACCTAAAATAATGTTGCGAGCTAAGTAGAGCGTTGAGTAAGAACTAATTGGCACTAAGTGTAACGCATAATGTATCAATAGGCTTGCAAGATATTAAAGCAATCTATTTACTTATTTAACTTAAATGTATTTTTTTTGTAAGTGTAAGTGATTGAAATCATGAGTGTCCAATTTCGCCCTAAAACGTCTTGAACAACTCTATAAATGTGTACGTTACGCAACAGCGATTTGACATAATCGTTTGAATCATGGCGAGTAATTAGTAAAAATCATTAAA